CCAACTCCAAGTGGAGTGAGAAGACGACTGACGGCTTCCGAGACGTTCTTCACGTACGGAAGAGCCCGCCAAAATTTGGGGCTAGTTGGATTTGGTCTCTGGTGTCCTTTTCGTATGCACTGGTTGACAAAGTTGCGCGGGTAGCCATTGGCTCTCATTACCCGTCGAAGATATTGTAATTCAGCAACCTTGTCTTCCATTTCACTGCAGTGCGTCTCAACACGCCGGTATAGCGCCCTTACGCAACTGCGTTTGTGACTGATCGGGTGGTTGCTATTGAAGTTCAGTATTTGCGTCGTATTTGTCGCTTTCCTGAACACTTTGGTTTTTAGGCCACCACAATCTTTGCGGCAGACGAGGACATCCAGGAAGGCCAGCTGATTGTTTTTCTCCTCCTCCATCGTAAATTGAATGTCCGGGAAGACGGCGTTGAGTTATTCTTTGAATGTCAGCACCTGATCCCGTTCGATGACGACGAAGGTGTCATCCACATACCGAGTCCAGAATTTCGGTCTGTGGTGTCGGAAAACCAGCGACTCCAGCCGTTGAAGGACCGCCTCGGCTATGAGTCCCGAAATCGGCGAACCCATTGGCGTTCCCTTCACCTGCTCGTAGATTGTTCCGTCGAATGTAAAGTACGTCTTGAGACAGAACTTCAGGAGCTGGATGATTTGGGCGTGTCCGAGGCGATTCTCCGTTTCGTCGTACTTCTCTCGTAGGAGTAGTTCGATTGTCTCGACTGCCAGGTCCTGCGGGATAGAAGTAAAAAGGGACGTGACATCAAAGGAAACCATGATATCGCTTGGCAGGAGACTTACTCCTTTAAGTTTCTCCAAGAATTGCGTTGACGAGCTGACTGTGGTGTTCGAATCGGAGGTCAGAAACTTGAGACGTTGGAACAGCCACTTTGCCAGTCCGTAGGTTGGAGTGCCCTTTAGTGACACGATAGGCCGGAGAGGAGCGCCCTCTTTGTGCACTTTTGGGAGACCGTAGAATCGGGCTAGGGCCGTTTCTTGTGCTCTCGCCATGCGTCGGTCGATTGGCGATATTGCACCTGAGTTCTCCATTGCCAACAGCGTCGCGTTAATCTCGCGTGTCAGCGTTTTCATGGGGTTGGATTCGCATGGCACATAGGACTGACGATCATCCAACAAGCTTTTGGCTTTTTGATTGTAGTCTGTCCTGTCCAATACGACCGTTGAACGCCCCTTGTCCGCAGGCACGATAACGAGGTCGTTGTCGGCCCTGAGTTCTTTAAGTGCATCACGCTCGACCTTGGAAAGCACATCGCGCGGCCTATGAGCCATGAGGAGGGAGGACACTTGGTGTCGAATGAGGTTCTTCGTTTCGTCTGTCGCTCCCGTCTGGCTGAGGATTGATTCCACTGCTGCGATCATGTTGGCAGGTTTGGCATCGGCTGTGTTGAATGAGGCCTCATGCCGTAAAACCTGCATTTGTTCCTCCGTCAGCTCCTTTGACGACAAGTTGTGCACCAGTTTGTCGTTCTTGGATGACATTGGAGCAGGCAGCTTACGAAATTTGCTCTCTAGGGCTGCTTCTCGCGTTGCTTTATGTTCGCGGGTTCGTTCGGCCAGCCTCTGCTGAAGCAGTTTTATGCCGTCCTCGCCCATGAACTCGCAGCACCTTGCCTTCTCTTGGTCAATCCTCTGACGGTATTTGCGAATCCGTGAGTGACAGTCTTGAAGGAGCACTCGGATCATTCGTCGGCCGTGCTGAAGTACTGCGCGTCTCGCCAGCTCTGTGTTGACCGGAGGTTTGTATGAAACGCACTTCGGCAGCACATTGTTGTCGAGACACCTGTGCAGAAATCGAATCTGCGCATATGTTGACGACTCTCGAAGGGCAAAGGTTTCCCACCGTCGAGCCGATCGGAGCGCTTCGCGCCCAAAAAGATTGCTGATAGAAGCGAACAGGCGAGTCCCAGGTAGCAGTTCAGAAGATGAAGATGCGATCACTGGGACAAGAAGTTTATTGGCCTGACGTTTCGGGTTCTCACTCGAGCCCATCATCAGAGACATTCGCAGATAGAGGTAAAGGTGGCACCAGGAATGCAG